TACTGTAATCAAAACAGTCTGATACTGGCATAAGAACAGGTACATAGAACAGTGGAATAGAAGAGAGGACCTAGAAGTAAACCCATGTCTCTATGGTCAATTAATATTTGGCAAAGTGTGCAGGAGCATAAAATGAGGTAAAAGTAGCATCTTCAACAGATGATGTGGGAGATCTGGAAAGCTACATGCAAAAAAATGAAATTCAACCACCATTTACACTGTACACAAAAATAAACTCAAGATGGATAAAAGGCTTAAATATAAGTCATGACACCATAGAAGTTCTAAAGGAGAACATAGGCAGAAAACTTTCAGATATTCCACACAGCAATATTTTCACCGATATGTCCCCTGGAGCAAGGGATATAAAAGAAAGAATAAACAAATGGGGCCCTGGCTGATATGGCTCAGTGGACTGGGTGCCAGCCTGAGAACCAAAGGGCCTCTGGTTTGATTTCCATCTAGTATACATGCTTGAGTTACAGGCCAGGTCCCCAGTAAGGGGAACGTGAGAGGTAACCACACATTGATGTTTCTCTCCCTCTCTTTCTCCCTCCCTTCCACTCTCTAAAAATAAATAAATAAAATCTTTAAAAAAATAAACAAATGGGAATTCATCAAATTAAAAAGCTTCTGCATGGCTAAAGAAAACATCATCAAAATAAAAATGGAACCAACCTTATGGGAAAATATATTTGCCAATGATACCTCAGTCAAAAGTTGATCTCCAAAATACATAAAGAACTCACATGACTCCACTCCAGTAAGACAAACAATCCAATTAAAAAATGGGCAAAGGATCTGAAAAAACACTTCTCCAAGGAGGACATACAGAGGGCCCATATACACATGAAAAAATGCTTAACATCAATTAGAGAGATGCAAATTAAAACCACAATGGTATACCCTCCACACCAGTCAGAATGGCCATCACAACCAAATCAACAAACAAAGTGAAAAGGGAACCTAGTACACTATTGGTGGGAATGCAGACTGTTGCAGCCACTGTGGAAAACAGTATGGAATTTCTTCAGAAAACTTAAAATGGAACTTCCTTTTGACCTGGCAATTCCACTGCTGGGATTATACCCTAAGAATCCCAAAACACCAATTCAAAAGAATCAATGGTACGCTGATGTTCACAGCAGCATTATTTACAATAGCCAAGTGCTAGAAACAGCCTAAGTGCCCATCGGTAAATGAGAGGATCAAAAAACTGTGATACATTTACACAATGGAATACCACCCAGGTGAAGGAAAGAAGGAATGCCTACCCTTCTTGATAGCGTGGATGGAACTGGAGAGAATTATGCTAAGTGAAATAAACCAGGCGGTGAAAGACAAATACCATATGATCTCACCTATAAGTGGAACCTAAACAATGAAAGAAACATGCAAGAAAAATATAACCAGAGATATGGAAATAAAGAAAAAAAAATTGACAGTAATCAGAAGGGAGGGGGAATGGGGATAATGGGAAAAAGAAGGGGAAGGTTCATCAAGGAGCATGTATAAAGGATCCATGGACAAAAACAATGAGGGGGATTGAATGTGGGAAATGGGGGTAGGTGGGGCAGGAGAGAGTAATGGAAGGAAAATGGGGACAAGTGTAATTGAAGAACAATAAAAAAATTGACTTAACTATTCATAGACTCATTTCTCCAAATATATATTTTAAATAATTTTGTTGACTTTCTCAATACATTTTTATATGTATTGTGAAATATAAGTTTCTATTGCCAGTTTATTTGAAATTATATTGAATGTTTAGACTAAATTTGGAAAAAGTTGACATTTTCATCAAGTTATCTGATCATGAGTGTGACAAATCTCTTTATTTATTCAGGTATTCTTATTTTTTACTGTTGAATTTTACAGTTTTGTCCATAAAAGTCTTGTGTATTATTTTTTAAGGTTAATTCTGAGATACTTTTATCAATCAAGATTCAACCTATAGGAATTGGCTTGCACTATTAATTATGTAAGCTGGCTAAGAAAGTCCAAAGTCCATAGGGCAGTCTTCTTTCAGGAAGGGAAAATCATCATCATGATCAGCTGAAATTCATAGACGTAGGTTAAAGCTACTGTCCACAGGTGACAGAATTTCTACCCCCACTCTTACTCCTGGATCCCCAACCTAATTTTCATTCCTTCTAAATGATCAAATCAGACCATCTCAGTTTATCAATGATAATCTCCTTACTTAAAGCCCTTATTTTGCCATGTCTGAAGTCCACCCACGTTTTTGACTCAAACTTTCAGGAAAAAAAATATTTTGTTTTAATTTTTTAATTCAATTATTTATTTATTTATTTTTAGAAACAAAACCAATTATCATATTCCAAGGTATTATTTTGCATAGTGGTATCGTTATTGCTATCTGGAGTCATGCTTTTAATGCATAAGCATAAATAAAATAATTAAAAATATTTATATAGATATAGAATCAAAACTACCCATATATAATGTGCATCTTTATTTTTCCCTCAAAAATCTGGGCAAAAAAAGTGCATTATGCTTGGCAAAATATGATAAATTGATTAAGGACCTTTATCACATCTGTAAATTTAGAGTAATATCTGGACTAGTATTTGATTAAATAACCGGGACTGTAGCCTAGGCAGGTGACACATTAACAAAGCCATTACAATGTAGTTTTGGTTACTAATTTAAGTTCCATCTTGTTTTTTTTATTATTTGATTATTATTAATGTAGAGGAGCTATATTGATTTCTATAAGATGATATTGTGCCTGAATCATTTTTTTGTATTTGTTCTAATAGTTGGTCAGTTGGCATCCTAGATAGAGAATATCATCTGCGAATAATTGTAATTATTTCAACTCTTCATTTTTTTCTTATCTTATAACATTGGTCAGTATACCAAGTAATAAGTTAAGTGGAAAGGATATCAAGTATCTTAGATCATTATCTGACATTAATGAGCTATGTCTAACATTCCACCATAAGGAAGACGTTTGCTTTAGTTATGGTATAAATTCTTTATCATATTAAGACTATGTCCTTCTATTCCTAGTTTTCTGTTATTTTCTTTTATTATGAAAAGATTTTAAACTTTATGAAATATTTACTTCATATCCATTGAATAAAGCATGATTCAGACTACTAGTGTATGACTTGTTAATCTTAAACCACACTTGTTTATCGGCAATAAACCCTAGCTTTTTATGATGAATTATGTTTTCCTATGCTCTTTCAGTTGGTTAGCAAAAATATTTTTAATAATTTGTATCTATGTTCATAAGTAAAATGGGCTTATAATTTCTTTTTCTTTTCCTAGACTTATTTAATTTTGAAATTAGCATTACTCTTTGTTAAAATGTTTTAGAAAACTTGCCCTTTTCTCTATTCTCCAGAACTCATTTTATTGATAGGGATTATTTGTTCTTTCAAACGTGTTGGAACTCCTTTATAAAATTTTCTGGATTAAGGGATTTTGTCGTTTAATTTTTGTGGTAACATAGTATGATAAATAGAAAAGCATGTTTCTTTTATATTGAATTTCTTTTCCCCAATGGAGACAGGAGGTTTTACTGATGCTGATGGGTGTAGGAGCCGGGGTGGAGGGGCTGAGTCAGTCAGCAATGCATAAGGCCTGAGCACATGGGGGCAAATTAGGGAACATTCATCTTCTCAAGATTTTGTGGCTCCATTGGGGAAGGGAGAGAGCATCTTGAGAGGGAAGCAATTTGAAGAGCAGCAAGGGAGAGGTTAGGAATGGCTGAGAGCTCCTAACCTGAGAGAAGGCACCACAATAGGCAGCAACATCTGTGTGGAAAGCTGGATCAACTGGTCAGTAAGGGAAAATGGGGAGGAGTCCAATCCTGGCCTAGGTGAGCTCTCAAGAATACCTGGTGTTCCCAAGCAGATTAGGGCAGGACCCAAAGCCCCTTTCTCTGTGGGCTTCTTTAAGGATAAACAGGTATTCAGGGAGCCCCATGGCAAGGGGTGCCAGAATTAGTGCTCAAGGCACAGCTAGGGGCAGACAAGGCGCCAAGGCACAACTGGTGGGGGGGCAGGGGCAGCCTACAAGCTAAGTGCCAGGGTCACAAGAGGACGCAGGACCACCCACGCTTGATCGGTGTGGGGTTGAGCACAGCCTGGACAGCCTCAGCAAACACTTCCTTGACGCCGTCCGGCTGCAGGGCCGAGCACTCGAGGTAGCGCACTGCATGGATCTGCTTGGCCAGTGCCTGGCCCTGCTGCGGTGTGATGGGCGCCTGGCCCTGCCCCTTGAGGCGCCCCAGGGTGTCAGGCTGTGCTCTCAGGTCCTTCTTGGTGCCCACCAGGAGAATGGACATGTCGGGACAGTGGTGGCACACCTCTGGGTGCCACTTGTGCCGCACATTCTCATAGGAAGGTGGACTGGCAGTGGAGAAACAGATGACAAAGACATTGGTCTGAGGGTAGGAGAGTGTGCGGAGGCGGTCATACTCCTCCTGGCCTGCTGTGTCCCACAGGTTCAGGTTCACTGTGTGCCCATCAACTGCACTCTGGGCGCTGTAATTGTCGAACACTGTGGGAATGTATTCCTTGGGGAAGGAAGGCATTAGTTGTGTAGCAGATGACCAGGCATATCTTGCCTACAGCCCCATCGCCCACCACCACATACTTGCTGCTCTGCATCGTGGGTGCCGCTGCTGCAGTGGAGGTACTGCCTCCTTTCCCTTCTGGGCCCCTGTGGATGCAATGACCTGGTGCCCTCCCCGCTGCGGGGGAGCTGGGAGCAGCGTCAGTGTCGGCTGCTGGCAGGTTGAGCTATATTGAATTTTTAATGTATGTTAATTGTATAATTTTACAAAGGAAATAAGATAGCTTTCATCTTTAGACTAATAAGGGAGTAATTATTATTCATATACCTTTGAGTCAGTGTACATAATAGATTATATAGAAACATATTTTATGTGGAACTATAGAAAGGTGAGAATGAATGTGTTTCATCTTAAATTCTCTCATAATCTCTGTGCTTTTATCCCCTAGGACACACAGGACGGTTATTAAAGTCTCTATGCTTCACCAGTCTTTCCTTCCTGTTACTGCACATCATTTTTCACATCACATTGGCTAGCCTTGAAGCTCAACACCGTATCGAACCTGGTTACAACTGTGAGTACTAATTTTTTTTCATATTATGTATGTGCCTAATAACTCTCATAGTGTATACTATGTGTTATAACTCTCATAGAAATCTATGTAATAATTAGTTATATTATCAAATTGATAGCAATTTTTGGTCATTTTTCAATCCAATACACTATACATACATATAAAGAAACTTTGGTATGGAGAATTAAGTAGTACTAGCAAATTAATTAATGAATCTTCAGCATATATTAGATATTAGACTCCAATCTGAATGTAAGACATTATCATTGAGCATAATCCAAAAAAATCAAGATTTACATACAGTCCTTAGAACTTTCAGTACAGCTGAGACAAGATTGTACAATTTCTAACATTACAAATAAGAATATAAAAGTAAAATACTTTTATAACATTTAGTGATCTAAATCTTCTTCTGAGGCATAGATCAAAAGATTTTATATGACTTTATGGGGAAAATGTAATGATACATATAGGTTTCTTTCCCAAATTGGAAGTTCTTTGTTTTTATTCATAGGAAAATAATATTATATACATTATATTTTGAAGTTATGATCATAAAGATTCAACACATCTATGCTTCACCGAAGTAATATCATCTTTCCAAAGTTAACTTGCCTTCAGATAAATTCTACTTCAGTTTTTGTGGGCTATATGATTGTAATTTGGAAAAAAAAAGCATTTCAGGTAGATGGGATACAATTCATATTTTTCAAGTTAAACCTCAAGAAACCCTGAGAAATTTGAAATAGACTATAATAACAGTTTTAAGTTGTCTCTTTTTCTTTGAAGAGCTCATTTGTGAGTTGGAAATTTCCTGATTTTCCATAAGTGCAAGCATAAGTAATTTGAAGTAAATCTGTACTTCCTTGTAAAATAAAAAGAGGGTCAAAATTCTTTACAAATCAAAGAGTATTAACATATACATAATGAGACATTCTTTAGTAAAAACAAATTTATAAACTATTTGGTATCTCTCACTGAGTAACTATAGAACTAAACTTTACAGAGCTAAAGTTAATATACATTTTAGCCATTTTATTGAGTTCAGAGTTCCTTGGATAATGATGCCTATCAAAATGATTTTTGACTTAAGATATGGTTATTATTTTAAAAACTTATACGTAATTTATACACCATAAAATTCACCCATTTAAAGAATATTATTCAGTAGTTATTTGGCTGTGCAATCATTGCCACTATCTAATTCCAGAACAATTTTGTCTCCCTAAAAGTAAAACCTATGCCTATAAATAGTTATTCCCCATTCCTTCTTCTGCCTGTATTATATTTACCTATTCCGGATATTTCATCTAAGCAGAATTATGCAACATGTGACCTTTTGTATCTGGCTTCTTTCACTTAGCATGATGTTTTCACGGTTCATGCATGTTGTAGCATGTATCAGTACTTTATCCCTTTTCATGGCTGAATGGTATTCCATTATAAAGATGTGATTTTTTAATGTTTGGAAGAAGTGGCTTTATTATTAAAAATGTGTTAAAATACAGTGCTTAAATGTAAATGAACTTAAAATGGTAAAGAGTATTTATTACATCTGGCCAGGTTCAAATCTTTCAAGGACTTAGTAGAAATGATATCAGTGATATTTTGTAGTGCTTCTCAACAAAAAGTCCTTTGCAAATTTTTAAGTATTATTCTCAGAAACATAGTGAAGAAGTTTTGAACCATAAGTGTTGTCTGAATGAAAGTCTATTTTATGAATAAAGAGTTCTTCATTACTGAAAGTATTTAGTCACAGGTATATTACAAATCATCTAGCTTTAAAAAAAGATTTTATTTATTTATTTTTTGAAAGTAAAAAGGAGTGAGAAAGAGATGTAGGGAAACATCAATGTGTGAGAGAAAAGAACCTGCGAGGCAGGCTTGTGCCCTTACTGGGAATCAAACTGGTGACCTTTTGTTTTGTGGGAAGACACCTGACCAACTAATCCACACCGGTCAAGGCACAAATCATCAGATTTTTATATTTTGAGTTTATAACTATGTATATCTTGCCTATTTTTACAAATATTTTTAGGGTCTAAGTGATAATATAGAAAGGATTTACTGCAAGTATCTAGATTAGGAAGTGAAATTCATCATTTCTTCTGACCCAAAGAGTCTAGGTGTTTCTATTTTTATTCAAAATGGTGGTTCTTCCCAAATTTAGAGGAGTCAAAATTTTTTTAAAATATGTAATAATGTGATGTTAAAACAATATTTATTTTTTACCTTTAAAAATGTATTTATTCTATGTAAATTCTTCTCTATAAGGTCCAGACAGATAGACAGACAGAAAGACATACAAACTTTAACATACAAACACATGTAAGTTTATTCTTGCTTTGTTTCCTCCTTCTCAGGCAAGGATCCAAATTACCTAGATACTTTGGGTAGGCCCTACAGTCCCATCGTGAAGAAGTCTGTATTTCTCAGTGGTGAAAAGTGGAGGCCATCTCAGGTGCAGTCAGAACTGCCCTTTTGACATGCCTCTTCCTAGGCATTCTTTGCACCCTAATCATGGGGAGTTAGATCTGCCTCTTCTAAACTCACAGCCTAAATATTTGGGCTTCTAGATACCAAGGTATAGTCATGTCTCTTTCAAAGATGTTTTGATTCATGCACATTTCCCTCTACTGATATCTTCACTGTAGCATCACCTGAACATATCTAAATCTAATGTATCATCCTACCTTTCTTTTTTGACACTCCCATGTAAAAACTCTTCTGTTCCACAAAGAGCCAATCTAATAAAGACATAAGAGAAACATTAATCTACAGAGAAGGGATGTGCTAAAGATTGAGTTAGAAAAAGAATTTGAGCTCTTTACTTCCAGCCATAAGCATCTTGAAAGTGAGTTTACAGAAGTCATAAATTTCTTCTGAAAAACGAGTGATGCATGCAACAGCATTGGCTCATTGAGTATTAGAATTTTTTGGGGTTAGTTTCATGTGCAGCATTTAAAAGTAATACATTCTTGAAAATGGATAAAAGAGTAGGGCAAACAAACTTCAGAGCTTTACAAACTATTTTAGTCCAAGATTGACACAGACCAGGTTTTCAGCCTAGGGCATTTTTTAATGATCAAGTTATATAAAATCCTGAAAATACTGTTAGAGTGGGTAATGGAAACACTGACTTTTAATTTAGAGTTGACTTCACTTCACTAATGTTATTGTTTCTTGAGTGTTTGGAGTTTCGATTATACCACCAGAGTTGTAAACACAAACTCAGCTCTTTTGATACCACACATTGAGACTTTAGCCTTTCTTGGCATTAGTAGATGTAAAGTAGCAAAATTTCAAATAAAAGGACAAAAAGTGTCTTGGCCAGTAGTGTTGTGCATTTTGGATGCTTTCTGTATGTTTAAGACATTGGTAAATTAAAGTGAAATAACCCAGACAGGTCGGGTTTCCCAATCATATTCAAGTGGTATTCAAATTCAAGACCACCAAGTGCTCATTTTATATGTGTTTAATTTTGTTTTCCTAACTGCTCCTCTCCCTATTTAAAACTCACATACCCTCACCCTTACTTTGGCAAAAGCTCCTAGTATTCCTCAGGAATCTAAGACACATGTTTGGGGGACAACAGTAGCATTTATAAATATTGAGTCATTGGAAGTTCTTGTTCCCCTAGAGCCCTGTGAATATTAACTGGCAGTAGTAAAGATTTTCTCAAACCAGCCTATTTAGTTTTTGACTAGCTGGCAGGTTTGTTAAAGGTGCCATTGTGCAGAACTGAAACTTAACACACCTCCCCCTCTTTCTCGCTCTCTTTTTCATTTCCAAAACGGTGCTCTTATAGGTAAGTGAGGAAATCGATGGGGCAGGGGAGAACTCTGTAAATTTTCCTCAAACATGTGTTGCGCCGCTTACTAAAATATTTTCATTCCATCAAAACTATACTATTTAAACAAATGTAAACCCGGTTTCAATTATGTCATTACAGATTCCATAGAAGTAGTTTGTTTGAATGAGTGGTGGATGTGTGTCAATGTTAGTGAAATTTCAAGGCCAGTCTGGATTCTTGTGCCATGCCAAGGCACGCTATTGATTCAAAGAAAGTTTTGAGTTCAAAACTATAAAGGAAAAATGTGTGGTGATAATAGCTACTATTTGTAGAGCACCTACCAGCTGTAGGGCTCCAAGGATCATTATATTCCTTTTCCAATTAATGACTATGCTTTTCTAGTTACAAATTTGCTTTAAGTAGAGGATTCTATACATATGACCACATTCCATTTTTTTAAAAGGGGGTGGGTAGGGCTGTGCAGGTGAACAGCTGTGTACTGCCTGTAGGCCTGAGGAGGTAAGTGGGAGCTGCATGCTGTCCTAGGCACTGATCTTTGGCTGGGCATGTTCTTCCAGGCTGGATCCAGCTTGAGAAAGAAGAATCATTTTATTCCTCCAAAAAGGATGGTCAGCTGACCAAGATTGCACCTGTAGGGCTGTGCCTTTTCATGATCTCTCTCTCCAAGGAGCTACCCTTCTTTTGTACAAATGCAGTGCCCAGTCTGCATGCCATGTTGAGGTAGGGATGAGAGTAATGATGGATGAAGGAGGGATGAGGGTAGTATTGAGAATAACTAATGATGAAAAACAAGGCTCTGAGAGTTGTCCAACCTACCAAGTTTCTGAGCTGGGATGTGAGCACTGATGTGTCTGAGTCTTCACTTTCTTTCCTCTTCTTTGTGAAACTCTATTTATCACTTATTTAGGATTGGTTCCACATTGCATTTCCTAGGACTTTGAATTAGTTTAGTTTCAAAAGACTTAAGTAAAAGTTTCTGGTATTTAGTATCTTGGTATTTTCTCTTGTTTGAATATTGTGCTTATAAGAATTGAATGTTTCCTTGGGTTCATACAATTGCAGCATTTATTAGATGAGTTGTCTCCGGAGGGTCAGACGCTTTCTTTCTGTTTGGGAGAAGGGCATCTAGAATATCAACTTTTCTCTTTCTAAGAGCATAGAGAATTTGACTCAGAAGCCAATTGAC